CAGTATCACTGCAGAAATAGATTCCCCCATCTTCCTTCCGAGGAGTGGCTGGTGGGTTTGAACCACCAGCCTTCTGGTTAGCAGTCAAGTGTCTTAGCCACTATGCTACCAGAGCTCCTATAGAAAAGTATATCCATTATGAAAAAGGTAGATATTTACATGCATGCATGTGCATGCATATTCACATATATGTTTGTATTGGCATGTTTATACACATATGTATGTACATAGCAAAAAGGTCTTGAAAGAGTCTCACCAAACTGTTAACAGCAGTTAACTCTGAGGAGTGGGACAAGAGGAGGGTAATGAAGCGAGGAGGGACACCCCTCCTTTCTTTATTTGATAGATTTTTTTTTTGTACTGTTAGAACTTTATTTCACAAAAGTAAGGACTGCTTTTGAAAGTCTATGAAGTGGTGCTTTGTGGAAACCAAGAGAGGGGAGAGTTTCAAGAAGAAAAAGTTAGTAAAGCCTGTCAAATGCTGCATAACAGGGAAATCGAGGGCTGTCGGAGGATCTGAGTCAGCCGTGCGTGCAAAGATCACGCTGACACTCAGTCAGGGACAAAGGATGCAGGTCCACTTCCAATGCTTTAAAAATGAATAGGTGGATTCTGCTTCCAGTAGTCAAGGAGTAGCTCCTTTCAGACCAAGCCTCTTGTAGATAACCAAAAAAACCAAACTCACTGCCATCGAGTCAGATCCAATTCATAGCGACCCCTCCTTGGGTTTCCAAGGCAGTATTACTACAGAAGTAGATTGCCCAACCTTCCTGTAGATAACTGCTATAAGCTCTAAAAAAAAAAAAAAAAAAAAAAAAAAACCGCAGGACAGAGTAGAACTGCCCCATAGGGGTTTCAAAGCTATAATTTTTTTTTCCCTCTTTTTTAAGGTTGTAATCTTTACAGGAACAGATTTCCACATCTTTGTTGGTAGCAGCCTAAGTGCTTAACCACTGTGCCACTAAACAAACAAACAAACAAACAAACAAACCAAACCCACTGCCATCAAGTCGATTCCAACTCATAGCAAGCCCCATTGGGTTTCTGAGGTGGTGAATCTTTACAGAAGTAGACTGCCCAGTCTTGCTTCTGCAGAGGGGCTGGTGGGTTTGAACCACCAACCTTCTGGTTAGCAGTCAGAAGCATTAGGCATTGTGCTACCAGAGCTCCTTCTGTGCCAATAAGATGCCTTTTAAACATCAACAAATCCACTGCCATCAAGTCGATTCTGATTCATAGTGACCCTATAGGACAGAGTGGAACTGCCCCACAGGGTTTCTGAAGCTGCAGTCTTTGTGGAAGTGCATTGTCACATCTTTCCCCAGCAGAGAGGCTGATAGGTTCGAACTGCCAACCTTTGGGTTAGCAGCCAAGTGCTTAACCACAGCACCACCAGGGGTCCTTAGGCTCCTTCTAGGGAGAGAAAACCCTATTACAGGCACTGGAGAACAACCAAAGGCAAGAGAAACTTTAGAGAGGTTGGAGTTGGGGCTGTGAAAAAGGCAGTGGATTGGACGAGGTCCCCATTTTTCTAATTCCCTTCTGCCAGAGGGGCAGGCCGTACTTGCCATGTGGTAAGGCTGAAACACATGTAGAAAGAAACATAGTCTTACTGGCTTAAATAACCAGAGGAAAAAATGCCAGAGAGCCACAATGGGTGCCTCAAATTCTGCATATAAATTCTGTCTAACTCCTGGCAATGTGCATGTGCAAAGAACAGAAGTAGCCCAGTTAAAGCTA